ATTGGCTACTGCGCTTTCCTCTCTCCACTTCATGTATTCACTTAGATCATTGTGTTTTTTTTTTTTACAACTAAATGGAACAAATGCACTCGAATGAAAGGGTTCTGTATTTTATCTATGTTGAAGGTAGAGAATTTTAGAATTTTGGCCTAAAAATTAGGTCATCAACCAGTTCAACTTCTAAGTAAGCGATTTATCTATGCTCACACAGCTCTTCAGTGGCAGAACAGTGTGTTAATTTAGCAACTGCTGTTTAGAATTTCAAACGACAATCTCCTTACCGGCCAGCCACCAAAAAAACAACAAAAAAACCAACAAACCAAAATAAAATAAAATTGCAAATGACAAGTTCAGCACCACTGCTGTTGAAAAGTCTCCTTGCATTAAAAGCAGAATAATAGGTATATTCACAAATGGAATCCTACTCAGTAATAAAAAAAGAACACAACGATACAAGCAACAACATGGAAGGATCTCAAAATCATTAGGCTGCAGGAAAGAAACTGAATTCATAAAGAGTACATACCGTATGATTTCATTTATATGAAACTAAAGCAAAATTAACTTACAGTGACAAAAAGATCAGTGGTTCCCTGGGGACAGGACAGAGTGGGGAATTGAAGTCAATCGGGCTCATGGAAATTTTGGTGGCGGGAGAGATGATGTTGGTTACAGAAGGAAATAAATACATTTGTTAAAACACATAACTACACTTCGCAAACATGAAAGGTAAGAAACTTAAAGAACCTATCGGCAGCAGACCACAATCATGCAGCCCTTGGGTATTTTACTTTTGCTACTTTTGTTTTTTACTATCGTGGACAGAAGATGCTAGAAAGTTTGGGAAGGGGTCTCTGATGAATTTTGAGGCACGCCCTACATCGAGGAAAGGGGCAGAGTGGCACGCCCTCCGACCCCATCTAGCTAGGGCTGCGACCTCTGGAGAGCAGCGGGGTTGAGGTCTGGAAACTCACCAGTGAGCAGGCTCCCCGGGTGATAGCCACGGTCCAGCAACTCTGCAATGCTGGCCGAGTTCTTACTGCTCAAACTGCCAGTTGCAACCATGGTCAACGGCTCTGCTTCCCTCGCGGGGCGGAACGGCCTCGTCCGGGCGCTGGAGAAAAGGAGCCGAGAAGGACAGACTTGCACAAGCAGGAAAGACGTGCAGAGGCTCCTAAAATGCCCGGCGTCGCCGGATCGAACTAGCTGAGACACTCTTTTTCTAAAGGGGAGGAACCGGCCTCTGCAGCTCAAGTTTACAAAGCCCCGGGGGCGGAGACGCCAACTACAGCCACAACCTGAAACTCACTCAAAAGTTAGCAAAACTTGGAGGCGACTTGTTCCGCGGAGCTACCCCCGCCCACGGTCCCCCCTCCTCCCGCAAGTCCGCGGCGTCGCTCACCTGCTGGGAGTCCGCGGGGGCCGGCGCGTTGGCCCGCAAGGCTGTGGGGTAAACGGAGGCAGGCGCCCCCCGCAGGAGCCCCCTCCCCTGGGGGCGCGGTGAGCTGCAGCC